AAATTGAATTTAGTTTTTTTCTTATTTTTATAGTTTCTTAAACTTGAAATGAAGTAATTGTTTTGAGACCTTTTTCTTTTCTAATACAGGCATTTGGTGATATAAATTTCTCCCTACAAACTGCTTTAGTGACACCCTGCAAATTTTGATAAACTGTTGTGCTTTTATTTTCACTTAATTTCAATTCATTTTCCATTTCCCTTTGGTTTCTTCTTTCACACATTGATTATTTAGAAGTGTGCTATTTAGCTTCCAATTTTTGGGGCTTTCCAGAGATCTTTCTGTTACTGATTTCTAATTTAATTCTATTGTGATAAATAAACATACTTTGTGTGACTCAAATCCTTTTAGATTTATTGAGGTTTGTTTTGGGACCTAGCACATGATCTATCTTGGTAAAAGTTCCACCTATACTTGAAAAGAATGTTTATCTGGCTGTTGTTGGATAAAGTATTCAGTAAATGTCAGTTGGATCAAGCTGGTTATTTCTTTTTAAAACTTGTTATCTGTCTACTATTTCTATCAACTGTTGAAATCTCTGACTATAACTCATGTTCTTTCAAATTAAAGGGAAAGGAAGGCAGGTTCAGTTCACTAATATCCACTGTCGTGTGTGTGTGTGAGTGAGGGTGTTGTGTTACTCCTCGGAGTGACCTAAGACGCCTTAAAACTTGGTTAGGTCTTTTAAGCCACCCACATAACCATGCTGTCTAAATTTAAAAAAAAAAAAAAAAAGCGATTGCTATGAAAACTTAGCTTTAAGGCAAATCCTCTTTTCATTCCCCCTACTCCCTTTCACCCTGACTGCTTTCCCTGTCATAGTCTGGTATATAAATTCTGTAGTTATTCTGTATTACTGTCGGGTGGTATTACATAGGAACATGGTTCATATCCTTTGATGTTACAACCTACAAAAATGTTAGATTATTCCTGAAAATTCTGAACAAATTCATGGAAAGGTATAAATTGTCAGGTTTTTGAACTCACAAAATGAAGTTACAGTTTAGAGATTAACTGAATCATAGCACATGTCTGGGGTTTGACAGAATGCAGAGTTCAGGTACCAAAGCTTTTTGCTAGGAATATGATCCGGTTTTCTCTTTTGTCCTCCACAGCTGACAGATAACAGATAATTGAGAGCTAAATCCTCTGTACATACTTTTGCACATCTAACTACCTCACAATATTTTGAATATCTATTTTTAAAACTTAGTTTGAATAATAAATTGATACATTTTAAAACTTCTCATAGTGTTTAGGTCAGAGAGATTTCACAGAGTTACTATTTATAGATTGTTAAAGACGCCTCTCAGGGCAAAGTCAAGGCTGTTGTATGTGGACAGTTTCTTGAATTATAGCGCAGAAACTTTAATACCTACTTCAGGAATGACGGGGATCTTAAATAGGCAGTCATATTTACTAAAGAAACCTAGAGTTTTCTTAGATTGCCAACCTTAGTAAGACAAGAAATGTCAGGGTGACAGAGTTTAAGTGGCTCTTTTCAGATATGTTACACTGATTCTCTATATTTAAGATGCAAAACAGCCTCCCAAAAGGTATTTAATTAAGTGAAAGTAAATCTAGTCCCTTTGGAACCAAATGGTTCAGTGAGCAAATACTTATCAGCAAGTGAAGGAAGTGGAGGAAGTTATTATGTGCTTCATAGGCATGGTGACGCGTTATAACCCTATATCAGAGATCCTAAACAGTGATTGGTTGAGAAAATTATCAAACTGAGTTTAAATTTCGGCAGGTACAAAATTATTTTGCAAAAGTCCAGTACAGTGTGCCACTCAGTCTTCAAAGAAAAAGATAAGAAATCCTGGATTTTCAAAGTCCCTTTGAAGGCTTTTAAGGTAAGATGAAACATCCTCTTTACTCAGGACCAAGAGATGTCTTTAGAAAGAAAGTTGAATTTCAGAGGAGCCAAGTAGATTTTAAGAAGTGAATAACCCTGTATGATTATATTTCTTTCCTCCACTTTTGACTTGTCATATCAACAGTTTGTATTAAAAGATAATGAAAAACTATATAGTAAGAAATACTAATTCCATATAGTAAAATATAGCATTACTGAAAGGTAGGGTTTTTTTTTTCAGTTACTAATAGAAAGAGTATATGTAAGATGAAGCAAATATTTTAAATGTAAAATATTAATAACAGGATGAGTGATTAGACTCTTTTATGTATAATTCAGTAAAGTTCCACTATTGTTATTTTTATTCAGAAAAACCATTTTTAAGAACTTTGAGTCTGGTTAAAGCCATATTTTAGCCTCACCATTGCAATGTAAGATGTAATTGAATGAAAAAAAAAAGAAACAATCTCTTCCTCTTTTAAATAGCAATAGTAACATTTAAATACATACTTTTTAAAGAAATAAACATGAATTTGATTTAACACATTATGTTACACTTATTTCAAAGTCTGTTTAATCCACTCAGTGAGGAACTCCTATCTGTTTCCAGGGCTCAGTATCTGGTCCACATTAGGCCTTCAAATGTTTGTTGAATGAATAAATGAATCTAAGTTTCCATTTAACTTCTTGGATTCCTAAAAAAATAACTTTTGACTTAAATTTTTTTTTTTGCCAATTGACATTAGAGTTTTAAAAACTATATTAAAAACACTTCTACTTAGAATAGCTAGAGATTCTAGCTTCTTTTCACACTCCTCCATTTTACAGTATGGTAAGTTTGAAAAAAGAAAGACATGTTACTAAAAAATTGGCAAACCGACATGGAAATTATTGGAAATTATTTTGATAATTATCAAAATGGAAATTTGATAATTATCTGGTTGCTTTGGTTACTTTCATTAAGAAATTAAATAACTCAGATTTTAAAAATCCATCTTGAACTTTCAAACAGGGCCTAATTAGGCTTTGCTTTTCATTAAAAAAAAAAAACTATCCAAATTAACTATGCAATTTCTAAATCTCATTTCATTTGTGACAATACATGAAATAATCTGAAGGAGGTTCATACAATTCTCTCTCCTTTTTTCTTTTTTATGGCAAGCCAGACCTTTTATTTTTTATTTTTTATTTATTGATTTATTTTATTATTGTTCAGTTACAGTTGTCCCAATTCTCCCCAGTTGCTCTCCCCTTCGCCACCCACCCCGGCTCCCACAGTCAATCCTAACCCTCTTGTTCATGTCCATGGGTCATTTATACCCATTCCTTGACTAGACCCTTAGAGATTCACACAATTCTTAAGCCTCAGCTTTCAGACTGACAAAACAGAGGCCATTTCTATAGGAGTCTTTTGAGCCATTAAGCTACCTGTGTACACAATGATGGGCATTACTGTGCATCGTTTGTTCTGGAGTGTATCTGAAATGAACCTAATATGGTCAGATTTCTGGACTGCAGTTTAGAAATGGGATGCACGTAATACTGGCTTTCACTATGGTACCTCTTCAGGACACCGTGGCTCTTCCAAATCACGGTGTAGACTGGCCTTCTGCAGAGTCTATGTAATAATTAGGTTTGGGACTGCAAAGTACAGTATAAGCCCTGCATACTGAACAGCTGCCCTTCAACATCCTTGCCCAGAGCTCTGTGTTATGCTTCTCCTGAGATCACCTCAGCCTCATTTTTAATCTATAGCACTTTGGAAGCAGGTCTTGGCTCTATGCTGAGCAGCTCTAAGAATAAGCACTTTTGTTTTCTGTCAGTAACTCTAAAACTGTGTCCTCACTCCTGTGAAGAAATACCAGTAAGTCGATGGGAGTTGATGTTCACTGAGGTTTTATTACATTTCACTCTCCACATTAAATTCAATAAAGGCTATTTTATAGCATGTAGCATTATAACCTATAAATCCAGTGGGAGTTCATGAAATAGGAGTAAAACTCCCCTTTCCATTCTACAGGAAAGGCATCATTACATCAAGCAATCCAATTTGCAGTAAATAGAAATTTAAATTTTTGATTCACATGGACTATACAATGCCTATTGCAATGTATCAGAATATGTATTTGACCACTTCTGAATATGAGTTTTAACAGGAATAATGGATCATATGTTTAGAATGCCCTCATAATAATTGCTACCGTTTATTACAAGATTACTAAATGCCCAGGACAATGGCAGGTATTGCTTATTTTAATAAGTATTAATTCATCAACAATATTCATAAAAATTTTTTATGTGTTATGTATTGGAATATAACGACTATCAACACATCCTCCAGGGTCTCAGGAGCTCCCAGTGGGGCAGACGAACAGGTAAGTAACCAGGCTATTTTAAAACAGCATAGTATGATACCAGTGGGGTGCGCAGAGCTGCTGGGTAGAGAGAGAAACACCCTCTCAAATGGAGTCAGAGAAGGCTTCTCAGAGATTTTTCTGCCAATACAGTGAGAGATAATCTCAAAATGCAGATATTATTATTATCTCAGATGGAGGAAAAAGGCTTAATAAAGTGCTTAAATTTCTCAGATTCACACTTCAAGTAACAAAGGTAGAATTCAAACTCGGGTCTGTAAATCCAAGCTCTGCGTTCTCTCCATTAGCCTAGGCTCCCTCACACCTGCCCCTTACAGTCTAGAATAGCCCAATTCTATGAATTTGGAGAGGGGATGGTAAGTTCTTCATCTTTTAAGCACAATCTTAGCACAATTAGTTAATACTTGATTAAAACTATTCAGAAGAGAGAGAGATTATTACCGTCAAGAACAGCGGCAGGACAAAATTATGATTATGACTTTGTGGCTACATGGCAGTTTCCCTTCCTGGCAGTGGCAGACACAGTCTATGTGGCTGTGTCAGAGCTGGACTTGATGATGCCTTGTATGTCTCTATGAACCCTCCAGGTACCAGGAGCATTGAGTTGACAGCCACCTTCTCGTGTGCGATAAATACTTCTAGCCCAGGAAAGAGGCAAATGTTTACCAAGCAAATATTATATTACTATGGTTATTATCTTTTCTTTATAAGTAATGTTGTGCTCTTCTTTTTTTGAAAACAGCCATTAACTAATATTTCTAAAGAAAATGAAGATAATCATATATTTTAGCATTTGGGCAGCAGCATGGGCCATTCCGGTTAGTATGCCTTCCTAAATATATATCCATATATTATATATAATAATAACATAATAATTATTTATTATATATAATATACAATAAATATATAACATAACAGATTATATTATATAATAATTTAATAATTATATATTATATACAGTATATAATAGATATATAAATATATATATATATTTAATGACTTTGCAGATAAACCGAGCCTAAACATTTAGATTTGCATGAAAAACTTGACAAGACATCTCTGGGGTCTCATCAAAACCAAAAATGACTTCAAATACATGCTTTCATTTCTCGAATGAAAACTCATGTTGCTCATAAGGATTTTTATTTAAAATTTCATTCAGATCAATTTACATTCAAGGCTCAGAATCATGAAGATTTTATTCATCTTTGCTCATGTTCTCTGAACTTCATTCTAATATCAGTGAAGCCTGTATTGTTTAAGAAGTTTTCAAGAAGAAAAAGCGGAAAAAATAGAATTTTTTTTACGTAGTAGAAAACTAACATTTTTACTCAGATAATTTTTTGTATGTTCACTGTAGAAAATTTGGAATATCAGATAAACACCAACAAAGAAAATTAACAAAATTCAACCATTCATATATAAGTTTATTAGCCAGCTGCAATGGTTAACATTTGGATACGTTTTCATGATACCAAACACTTCGGTGTTTATACAGCTGAGAATTTTCTCAGCTGTTTCAAATGTGCTTCTAAAGGACATAGAAGTAGCCTATTACTTGATTTTCTTCTGCACTGGCTCTGTTTATACCAACTGTTCTCCTAGGGGTTTTGGACAGGTTTATACTAGTGTGGGTCTGGTGCTCTACAAAGGCTTATTATACAGAAATGTCAAAAGTCTATCTTCTCATCTTTAGAAAAGACTGTTCCTCCTCTATAGTTGAGATAAATGGTTTGGTTAATTCTTCAGTAAAATTGCTAACACTGCTGTGAAAAAATATGTGTATGCCAGTTTCAATTCCACATTAGCCCTATAAAAAGTCCCTTCTTTTTTTTTTTTTTTACCTGATTAGAACATACTTTGGCCTTTGTGCTATATCTTTTTTTCTTCATTTAGGGAAAAATGTGTGTATGTGTCTGTGTGTGTGCATGTGCACAAAATAAGCATTTTTTGATTTTGGTAGGTTCCTCAAATCAAGTCATTGGAGAGATATGCTGTTGACAAATCTGTGAATTTAAATCTTCCAGCAAAACCAAAAGTGCCAATACAGGTATTGCATATAAAACGTGGTTCTAAGGTGTCTTGATTACATTACCCTCCCCCAAAATTGATGCTGGTCTTTTCAGTTTGTGTTACTTGAAGATGATATTCACAGTTTATTTTGAAATTTTTTTTCAGGATGATTTAAATGCTAATGATACCACCAAAGAGAGTGGTGTCCCCATACATGAAAATGAAATGGGAAGGCAACAGTATACCAAAGATGGTTACAAAGTAGAGGGAAATTGCTCTGAGTGGACAGAAGTAGGAGGGAAAAGTTCTTCTACACTTTCCATATTAGTAAATGAAGAGGAGAATCCCCAGGATCAGAATGGGGGCAGAGGAGGACCAGAAACATATGGTCATGATGGGATACATGGAAAGGAAGATAGCACCACAGCCAATGGTCTTAGGGGACAAGTAAGGATTACTGACAATACTGGAGCAGCGAATGGGAGCGATATTAAGGGAAATACTGATGAGGATTCAAAAAGTGGGACTATTGGAGATGCAAGTCAGAGTGAGAATGCCACTGTTGTCAAAAAAGATGAACACCAAATTGCTGGAAGCAGTAATGGTACAGGCCATGAGGATGGCATAAATGGGAATTCCTGTAGAAATGAGAGTGCTGCATGGGAAATAACACCTCAGAAAGAAAGGGAGAGAAATGGTCATGAGGAGGCAAAGGTAACGCCAGGGGGAAGTGGAGCTGGCAATAGAGAGGACACTGGCCTAGGTAATTCTGACGGGAGTCCTAGCGGGGATGGAGAAGATGAGGGGATGGATGAAGACAAGGGCTCTGGTGATAATGAAGGTGAAGAAACAGGAAAGGGAGAGGAGGACACTGATAATAGCAAGGGCCAGGAGGGTCAGGGCCATGGAAAAGAAGATGATAATGATAACAGTTTAGGTCAAAATTCAATCAGTAGTGAAGACGATGACCCTGAAGACAAAGAAGATGCCCAACACGTGGATGGAGACAATGCCTCCAACAGTGAGGAGGATTCTGATGGTATTCTAGAAGGAAATGATAGCAAAAGAACACAGGGCGCCCGAAAACCCAATCACAGAGAAAACAGTGATGTGGAAAGTGGAACGACCAAAGAATCAGAGCCAAGTACTAATGGGAAGAGCCAAGTAAAGGTTAGTGTGTGAAGTTGATTTGTTTTAATGACAGTTTAAATTCTTCCTCCCCACCCCATTAATGGTATCACAAAAATAAATCATGACAGGCATTCATGTATTTTTGTTCCTAAATTTCTTGAATATTGGATGGGGAAGCCAGAGTCCTTACCAGATTTTGATGTAAAACTATTTTAAAAATCAGACATGTCTGAAAAGTTGGTTACAGTTCTAGAAAATAATGGCTGTACCATGTAATGGTCTATAAAAATTCCTACTAGGTAAAAACATGACTGGGTTCTTATATAATCTAAACTAGAGAACTTTCAAGTACTGAATAACACACATTTTCACCAACAGATACTTCTGAAGTACTGGAAGTTAACTTCTGTTTCTCTGGTCACTTTCCTCAGCCACTCTTCCTCAGACCAATGCAACTTTGCAGTATAACACTCCTAATCAACCATTCTTTTTCATTCTTCCATAGGGAATAGAAATTGAAGGTCCCAGCAGTGGCAACAGAAACAATATTACCAAAGAAGCTGGGAAAGTCAACAAAGATAAAGAGAGTAAAGGACAGCATGGGATGATTGCAGGCAATGGAAATGTTAAGACACAAGGAGAGGTTGACAATATTCAAGGACCTGGCCAGAAATCAGAACCTGGAAATAATGTTGGACAGAGCAGAACAGGTAGTGACAGCAACAGTGATGGGTATGATAGTTACGAGTTTGATGATGAATCCATGCAAGGAGATGATGCCAATAGCAGTGATGAGTCTAATGGCAATGATGATGCCAACTCTGAAGATGACAATAACAGCAGTAACCAAGGAGACACATCTTATAACTCTGATGAATCAAAAGATAATGGCAATGACAATGACTCAAAAGGGGAAGGAGGTGATGAAAGTGACAGCACATCAGATGCTAATTATAGTGACAGTAATGGCAATGGTAACGACGGGAGTGATGACAGCAAATCAGACAGCAGCAAAGATAAATCAGACAGCAGTGATAGCAGTGACAGCAGTGATAGCGACAGCAGTGACAGTAGTGACAGCAGCGACAGCAGTGACAGTAGTGACAGCAGTGACAGCAGCGACAGTAGTGACAGCAAATCAGATAGTAGTGACAGCAGCGACAGCAGCGACAGCAGTGACAGTAGTGACAGCAGCGACAGCAGCGACAGCAAATCAGATAGTAGTGACAGCAGCGACAGCAGCGACAGCAGTGACAGTAGTGACAGCAGTGACAGCAGTGATAGTAGTGACAGCAAATCAGAGAGTGACAGCAGCGACAGCAGCGACAGCAGTGACAGTAGTGATAGTAGTGACAGCAAATCAGATAGTGACAGCAGCGACAGCAGTGACAGTAGTGATAGTAGTGACAGCAAATCAGATAGTGACAGCAGCGACAGCAGTGACAGTAGTGACAGCAGCGACAGCAGTGACAGTAGTGATAGTGACAGCAAATCAGATAGTGACAGCAGCGACAGCAGTGACAGTAGTGACAGCAGCGACAGCAGTGACAGTAGTGATAGTAGTGACAGCAAATCAGATAGTGACAGCAGCGACAGCAGCGACAGCAGTGACAGCAGTGACAGCAGTGACAGTAGTGATAGTAGTGACAGCAAATCAGATAGTGACAGCAGCAACAGCAGTGACAGCAAATCAGATAGTGACAGCAGCGACAGCAGTGACAGCAAATCAGATAGTAGTGACAGCAGTGACAGTAGCAACAGCAACGACAGCAGCGACAGTAGTGACAGCAAATCAGATAGTAGTGACAGCAGTGACAGTAGCAACAGCAGTGATAGCAGTGACAGTAGTGACAGCAGCGACAGCAGTGACAGTAGTGACAGCAAATCAGATAGTAGTGACAGCAGTGACAGTAGTGACAGCAGTGACAGCAGCGACAGCAGTGATAGCAGTGACAGTAGTGACAGCAGCGACAGCAGCGACAGTAGTGACAGCAAATCAGATAGTAGTGACAGCAGCGACAGTAGTGACAGCAGTGACAGTAGCAACAGCAGTGATAGCAGTGACAGTAGTGACAGCAGCGACAGCAGCGACAGTAGTGACAGCAAATCAGATAGTAGTGACAGCAGTGACAGTAGTGACAGCAGTGACAGCAGCAACAGCAGTGATAGCAGTGACAGTAGTGACAGCAGCGACAGCAGCGACAGTAGTGACAGCAAATCAGATAGTAGTGACAGCAGTAACAGTAGTGACAGCAGTGACAGCAGCGACAGCAGTGATAGCAGTGACAGTAGTGACAGCAGCGACAGCAGCGACAGTAGTGACAGCAATTCAGATAGTAGTGACAGCAGTGACAGTAGTGACAGCAGTGACAGCAGCGACAGCAGTGATAGCAGTGACAGTAGTGACAGCAGCGACAGCAGTGACAGTAGTGACAGCCAATCAGATAGTAGTGACAGCAGTGACAGTAGTGACAGCAGTGACAGCAGCAACAGCAGTGATAGCAGTGACAGTAGTGACAGCAGCGACAGCAGCGACAGCAGTGACAGCAGCGAAAGCAGTGACAGTGCTTCTGACAGTAGTGATGAGAGTGACAGTAAGAGCAAGTCTGGTAATGGCAACAACAATGGAAGTGAAAGTGACAGTGATAGTGTCAGTGAAGGCAGTGACAGTAATCACTCAACTAGTGATGATTAGAATAAAAAAAAAACCCCAACATTCCTTTTGTGGAAAAGTATGGTGATAGGAAATAAGAATTCCAAGAAAGTAAGGAGAGAGGAGAAATAAACAGAAGATATGCAAACATTTACAGAAAATGAAGGGAATTAAGTCAAACTGGTGCATTCAGCCCAAGGCTCAACTCCCTCAGAGAAAGAATCTGAATGTATGACATTTGATACATGTGTATTAAAATATATTCTGAAAATATTTTGTTAAAAGTGTAAATCTAAACATAAAAGAAACAATTAAAATATTCTTTAATACTTTACACAGAAACCTCAAGTAATCGTGTACTACATGGTAACTTCAACTGAAATGCCAAGTGCTTTAGAGAATGTGGCAAGTAAACACACAAACAGCTTGTGGCTTTGCCTTAATCTTTTGAGTAATTATATGTTCTGAATAGATGGTCTGCTCACTGCTGAGTAAAAGATGCTGCAACTATATCCAGCTTGGCTACTGATTCTTTTGCTTGTTCTAAGAAATGCACTTGTAATATTTTTTTTAAAGCAGCAATAATTTAACATTTTTAACATGGGAATAATCTTTGTAATTATTGAATAGAGTAATTCCAAATTAGGACAATTCTAAAGAGTGTTAGAGGGGAATTCAGAGGCTAACTTCAACAAAATCTGATATCTAGTATCACATTGCTGAAAACCACCAGAAATTTAGCATAAAGTGCCTAAAACGATTGACAAAACTGATGCAGTGCTTAGATCAGTGTCTTGCCTCCACTAACTACTCTCCAAATAGTAATAAATAAATGAAGACAGGAATGAAAAAGTCTGCTGGGGGTGGGGGGAGGGTATTCTGTACTCGGTGAAGTGAAAAAGTTGTTTTCTGCTTCAGTCTCACCAAGTCAAACTTGGCTCACATTTCCCTTTTAAACTCCTGCAAACCAGAACTTCCAAATCAGACCTTGAGATTCTTCTCACTATTAATCTCCTTAATAAAGCCAATAGTTGGCTCGGTGGGTAGTGTTTGGAAACTACTCATTTTCATTTGAGTCACATATGCAGCTAAAATCTGAGCATGGATTGTTCAGCCTTTGGATGACTGAGTTAATTTAGTTCTGAGATGAAACCCAAATGCTAGAACATGAGGATCTTGACGATGTATGAGACTAGACTGTGATATTTCATAGGGTGGAGATATAATTTATTACCCTATGATAACCATTTTTATATCCTTTGAGAGTAAACTATACTTTTTAAAAAGGAGTACTATCAATAAATACATGAGGTAAATTGGAATTGTCCAGGGACACTGGGAAATACAAGGAACATAGCCATAAAAATTTTTAAGAGTATTTTTTCAAGATTTAGTAGTGATGATTTATCATTTTCTTCTTTTTCCATTTGGGCAATTATTTTAGGTTTGTCCTAATTAAAAGGTAAAATCTATATAGCAAATTTTTGATGCAATTTCTTTAATGTTAATTTTCAACCAGGTATTAGTTGACAATTTATGTTCTAATATTAGGCATTTTTTTACACCAAGAGTTTCAGTAGATTGTTTTTTTCCCTGCCTCCTGTATGCAAGAGTTTCTTTGTTAAGAGATCAATATTGCAAGGAATATTTCTGAAGGCTTTAAAAATACTGCTATTTATAAACTACTTGATAACTCAAAATACTGTGAAATTTCAGGTTTCAATATATCACAATCATGTAAATCACTCCAAACTTCTTTTGTGAAAATATACTCTAGATTTTGAATTCCTTGAAGCTTCAGGGTTTAAAAAAGTATTATTAAGTGTGGATTCTTGTATTTGTCCCACCTATTTCAAAATGTTGTGATGAGTACTCAGACAGATAATGGATGTGAAACTCTGTAAGTTGTAAATGAAATGTAAATGAAAGAGATAATGAATTTTGGTGTTATAATAAACATCTATTTATATGAGTGTTCACAAGGAAATCTCCCTTTATCTAAATGAGTTTGCAAGTACTTACTCCTTCCACCACATGTTTAAAAATTAACTATTGGTATTTATAATTAAAAAATAATATATATACAAAATAAAAATTCAAATGCTATGAAAAAGTATACAAAAATATTAAATCTTCATCATCCCAGAACCCCAGTCTTCTATTTCTCTTCCCTAAAGGCAATTTCCATTACTAATACTCTGTGGAACTTTTCAGAAACATCCTATACACATACAAGTGTGTATGTACCCCTTTTAGATACATGGAAGTCAACTATACGCAATGTACTTATTTCACTTTTTTTAACTTAAGAGTATACCTTGAATACAACACATATTGTCTCTGTGTTGTATTTCATTTTATAAACTGCTATAAATATTTAATCTCTGCCTACTTTTTCATAACTTTCTAAGCCATTCATACAGAGAACTCTGCAGACCAATGGCATCTAATAGCCCAAGCTGGATATATTTTCAGACATTCTTATAAAGATTTCATCTTAAGAAGTGTTTCTGGGGGTGAAAGATCAGAATCTAGAGCAAATGTTAGAAACAATGAAGGAGAGACTAGGATCTTGATTTTCTTATATGATAGTATCGGCATTAGCCTCAGAACTGTTGAGACAAAAATGCAGACACTTGGAAAGAATGTCACAAGAATAGATTCTCTGTACACAAGTCTGGTGTTAGAAAACAAAGTTGGTTGGGGTTATTTTCTGGAATAAAGATGAATAAGATATCTGCTAATATTGCCTATGAAAGTAGTGTTTTTTAAACTGCAGGTTGTCACCCATTTAGTAAGTCATGATATCAGTTTAGTGAATTATGACCAACATTTTGTAGAACAAAAGAATAAAAAAGAAAAACTGTAGTGCCTCATATTAGTGTTTTGCGAAACTTGATATTTACCTCTATATGCATACATACACAAATATGTCTACGAATGCTCACACTAGGACACGATGTGACATGCCATTCTGACTGTTGGTTGTAGTAAAAAATATTTGAAAACCATTGATTTGGAAAAGCATTATAAAACATTATTACTGTTAGTAATCATTTTATGTTTACTCTTTACATTCATGTTTCTCCTGACATCTAAGTTTCTTTTCCACTTTTGAAGCAGTGGTTAAAAAAAGAAGAAACAAAGAAATAGTGATGCGTATGTGGAGGGGTGGGGCAAGAGTGGTGGCGGGACGGGTTCCTGGATTTACTTGTGCCGAAGGGAAAGAGCTGAGGTAAGGTTATCTTTTGAGCAAGAGCCTATTATGGTGGCATCGGTGGGATTGTTGGAAAGTCATGATTTCTTTTTGGTTGTGTGTGCTACTCCACATATGACTGAAAACACATGGTCTTTAAAAAATTTTTTAATTAAATTTATTGGGGTAGCATTGGCTAATAGGATGAGAGAGGCTTCAGGTGTGCACTTCTGTGATACAAGATCTGTATATTGCACTGTGTACCCACCACCCAAAGGGAAACCATCTTCTAAAGAAGCATGGTCTCAGAACTGGCTCTCAGAGGTCATCTTATTGTCCCCACCTGACCCTGGAATTCCTTCCACACCTGCTCATACCACAAATCAGGAAAGGTAATAAGAGGTGTTTTTTCTTTTTTTCTTTTGCTATGAAATCTACTTCTTAAAATAGATTATAAAAAGATAACCTTTAGAGAGACATACCTCACCATATAAACACATTTTAAGTTAACTGGAATGGAATTTCCCAGAAGTCAAATTTGCTTTATGGTTTGTAATGGAAGTTTTGAAAAACTTTAGACCAAAATAACTAGGAACAATTTTCCTCTCCCTAAAAGGAGCAGGAACAGAATGGAATAGTTCAGTCAGAGATGAAAATATCATTGTGTTCTCACAGTGATCCATTCACTGCTGTTTGCAAGCAAATCCTCGAAATAAGTAAAAAATGCAGTGTTCCCAATCTCTCCCCTCGAACAGAGATCTTGGATTCATATGCTAAAAAAGGGGAAGGCGAGGGGAAAAAAAGTCAAATCCTGGGGGGCATTCATATAGCTCAGAAAAATGGTGTAAGGTGTAAAGATCAAGAAAACATCAGACTCCATGTGTTTTCCATTAGTTGGCGAGTCCCAGCTCTAGCACAAAGCACTACATTTACAGAGTGCTTCATCCGAAGATGCTTCTTTTACTTCGAAGTCCATTATTTTGGGCTTTGCCACTGGCTGTACCCCTCCCTCTACTCTTCCCCACTTTTCCTCCCTAGTGTTTTCCCCTTCAAAGAGATAAAGAAATGCCTGTGGGGAGGAAATGCTTTGTCCTTTGCAGAATTTAACTCTCAGGCATCTCCCTGTGGGAGGCCCCAGGCAGACCCCCTGGTGTGTTGGACTTCCATCTCCCACGGCCCTTTTTCCTGCTCCTACCTATACCTCAGACAACCAGCTGGGTCCCTGCTCCTGCTTCCCTTGTACTTTCCTCAGCTGAAACCACTGAATCTTTCCTTGCTGTTTTCATGCCATCTCCTTCTCCTCAGACCAATCTGAACTGGGGGCAGGAGATACTCAGGCTCTAACAGACTAACACTTGGTCTTGGCACTAAAGCATATTTCCTTCTTGTCCTACTCAAATATCTGGGTTCTGGTAAGTGGACTTTTACTTTGTTCCCACGAGACAATCCCCTTTGATCTTTCTAACTGGGTTTCTTCATGGCTGCCTCATCTCTCTCTAGTACTGATGAGACTTTTCCTAACCAGCCAACAATGACCAGAAGCAAACCTGTCATCTGACAGTCAGGCTTACTGAGACAACACAAGGAAGGAGACTGCATACCAGAGCAACCTCAATATCTCAGCAAACAAAGGAAAAGAGAGGATTTTGGGAAAGAGCAGAATTTAGGTGATACTTAAATGAAGCAGTATTTGAGAGGCTCAAAGCAAAAGTGAGAGCTGTGGCTGAAGGGGTCAACATTAGGTTTGGACTGTAAAGTACATGCAGGCTCCCTGTGTCCTTGGAAGGTACACAGCTAAGATGGGTGTGGACTCTTGTAGTCAGAGACCTCTAATATGAATCTCTGC